TAAAGTCACTTGCGCATTCCTTTGATCACTGATGGAGCAGCGAACACGTGGCCGCTTGTTGAGAGCCTTCTGTCCTGGGTGCCTGTGGATCCATCGGTGAGAAACAGACATTCCTGCCTTGTTGAGTTTACAGTCTAATGGTGGGGGAGCAGGTTGCATACTGACAGGAGCTCGGGGAGACCAATACAGCAGGAATGGTGGTGGTGGTGGTGGGGGGGTGGTTGGCAGTTTAAAGTTAGACAAGGCATATTCCAGAACTGAGTAGTGGGCTCATCGAGGGCTGATGGTCTGGCAGCTGGAGGGTTGGGGCTGAGCCCTGTGGGTGGGGCGGGAACAGAAATTGTACCAGCAGCCGCCTAAGGACAGGTTGCAAGACTTTCTCCTGTCACCAAATGTTATAAACCCCTTTCCAAACCAGTTCACTTTTGATATGGGGCTAACAGACCCTGTCCCTCTGACCACGGGGGTGGCCTCATGTAATGCAAATGGGGTTATTCATTCAAAAAGCACTCACTGAGCACATGCTCTGTGCCAGCACTGCTCTCCATACTGGGATGGAGTGAGGCAAAGATGAGTCCTTGCCTTCATGGAGCTTATATTCCAGGAGACAGATAATAAGTAGGTAATGAGATAGACAGACACAGAATGTCTGATAGCGCCACTTCACGCAGTTAGGAGGGGATCCACGAGAAAAGGGGGGGAGAGGGCTCCAGGCAGAGGGGACAGGAGGCAGGAAGGCCCCGAAGCTGGGTATGATTCCAATATTTGAGGGGAAGCAAGGGAACTTGTGGGCAGGATGGTGCGGAGGAAAGGGGAGTTCCAAGATGAGAGAGGGAAGCAGGGCCAGCTCGTAGGGGCTCTCAAGGCCCCTGAGAGGACTTTGCATTTTATTTGTGGTGTAAAGAGGAGGGTTCTGTTCTGCCTGGTACCTCAGCAGGATCACGCTGGCTGCTGCCTGACACAGACAGGGGAGGGGCAAAAGGAGGAGGAAGATGTAGGCACGTGGGAGATGGGTGGTCAAACCGAGCTGGTGGTGGTGGACGAGGTAAGCGGTGGTCAGACTTGGGAGACAATACAAAGGCTCAACCTGGTGGCCTCAGGGATGGATGGAACTGAGTTAGGACCCGGGCCCGGCCGGTCAGTGTGAGATCAGGGCTGGGGCCGGCAGACGCCATGCCCCTCAGAGCTTCTGTGATGTGCACGGCAGGGTCCAGCAACCGAGTGATCAAACCTGAATTAGGAAGTGAGTGTCAGAGGTTCTTTGATCCAGAACATCTCCTTATATCTTATATTTGGTCAGGAAATTGAGACCAAAGATGATGGCAATTGTTATCCATCCAGCATGATGTCAATTATGTTTGGTTTTCCAACAAAGCAGCAGCAAATATGTTCTCTGCTCACCCTCTACTCTAGGTAGATTAGTAGACAGCAGCTTAGTTAAGGTTGACAGCTAACAGGAATAGACGAAAAGCAGCAAGCAGGCCAAACGTCCGAGTGACTGCTGGGCCCTGTGCTCTACCTGCTTTTTGTCTAGTTGCCTGGTTGGTGGACACCATTGAGCCTACCAGACAGATGGCGAGAATGTGCCAGTGACAGATGAGGGACTTTGTGGGTGATCACTAGCTCGCTTCTAATTCCAGAGGAAGAACCAGGGCAACAGCCCGAGCCAGTCCCTCCTTCCTTTTGGTGAGATGAGGAGTTCTCCTGGACTGCGAGCAGGTTAGAAGGGTCAAGCGGGCACTTTCCAGACCTCTCGCTCCCAGTTCCTCCTGCAGGCAGTTACGTGTCCTGTCACTAGGAGTGTGTCAGGGAGGGGAGGCGGGTGTCAGAGGACAGAGACCCTGGCTCCCGCTGAGCTCAGAGGAGCGAGTCTCCCTTCACACCAGAGTCAGCGAGCAGAAAAGGCTTTGGTCTGTTCCGGGCATTGCCCCTGGGCAGAGAAGCGCTGAGTCCCAGCTGTTTTCTCAGAAAAGCAAGCAGGAGGCAAGGCTGATGGGCAGGATGGCCTGAAGAGAAAGGAGGAAACCATCAGCGGGAAATTCAGCCCTGCACACACTGGGAGCAGAGCACAGCCTCCAGCGGTTTTGCTTTTCTCCTCCAGCTTTAGGGTGAGGGGTACGCAATGCATATTTATAGAGCCAGGAAGAAGGTGTTTCTATTAGGCAAGGCAGACTCTATGTTTATGTTTGAAAAGAAAAACTGGTCCTGGGAACAGGCCAGCGCATTCCCATCACAGCTGTAGCCTCACAAAGATGGGCCCTGTGGTGAAATTTGGTTTTATCCTTAACTGATATAGTGGTTTTACTAAAATAACAGGAAGTTGGTACAATTGTCCCAGAGTCAGAGGAATACTATGTTAAGAATCACGTTTTTAAAAAAGCTAATTAAGGGACTGGACATGTCCCTTTTCCTTTTCATTAGTTTGTCGTATTATGGAATAACCAAACTCCAAGGAAAAGCCTGTATCAAATCTCAAGCCCCTTCTCCTACCCGTGTGGCCCTTACCCCGAGTCAGGGCCTCCAGGCCTGTCCTGCACATCCAGTCAGTGGCCTGAAGGGCCAGAGGGAGAGCCCTGGACTCGGTGGGGACAGCATGTCCCAGGCTGCGCTCTCCATGGCATAGCCCACGAAGCTGGGAGGGGTTACCCGGGGAAAGGATTCCGGGCTTCGCAGGTCTGGGAAACACCAGGTAAGCATACCCAGGCTTTTATATTTTTAACTTTGAGTGTCCTGAAGCCCTACTATGTGCACATGCCTCTGACTCCCCCAGAGAGCTCCAATAGGCAGTATTTCCCGCAGACACCTCCTTACAGAACGGGAGATGCGTCACGACCTGGGACATGCTGCCGAGTAGCAGCCTTAGGACAGGCGGCCCAGGTGAGAGCCACCAGGCGGGGGTGACATGAAACCCCAGGCCTCTAGGAGTCTGGGCATGGAGCAGCCTGCCTCATGGAGGCTGTGGGGGTCACAGGGGCGTCAATTCTATGGCCATGCAGGGACACATGGGGTAGGGTGTGGGAAGGGGGTGGGCTTGTCTGAGCACAGGGTAGACTCCGGAGCTGGGAGGAGCGCGGGAAGTCAGTGAGGTGGCTCCCCGTGGAAGATTCCCAGAGAGGACGTCCGAGTGGTGCCGAGGGCCAGGGGCATCCCCGGTGTGCAGCCAGTGCGCCATGGGTACTCCCTGGGCAGAAGAACAGCAGGTCAGAGGCCTCTAGGAGGATTTCCCTGGCGATGGTTTTGGAGGCACGAGAAGGGAGACTGGCCGGTTCCGAGCAGAAGGCAGGGCAGGGCAGGCGGGTCTTGGCTCTTGGCTTATTCTTCTTCCTGGTGCACAGGCATCTAACTCCAGGGCGCCCACTGCGCCACCTCCGGACAGAAACATGGACGTGCCTTCTACTCCTCTGCGGGCTCATGAGAGCAAGTCAGGTGTTGTCAGTTCTCCCAGGAACTGGGCAAATGCAGCACAAGATGCTTAAATAAAATGACACCACACACACTCCTATTCTCATATACCCGTTTATTGCAGCAGGAAAAGAGACCCGGGGCGCTGGACAAACTTGAGGCCTGCAACGAGCTGTAGATGTTCTTTCCAGACAGTCCTACGCCACGTTCCCCGCAGTAAATAATCTGGATACAGCCGATTTCAGATAAGCATAAACAAGGATCAGACACTATCTGTAATCACTTTAGAAATTTCTGAATGAACGAGCACATTGCAATGACTGTTTAAATGTTGCTTCAACTCCCCAAATTAATTCCTACAGAGCAGCAATGTCCCTGGAGGCTGAGAAATTAAAACATCTTGTTAAGCTTCAAGACCTTCGGGCAAATGGGACTCACAGCGGACAAGTGGGCGTAGGTGGACTGACAGGGGACAGGTGACTGAGGCCACCGCTGGCTACCAGGAAACCCGCATAACTCCCGGAACCAGAAGCATCCCCACCCTGAACCCAACTCCTGCTCATGGCTCGTAAAGCTGCTGGATGTGCAGAGGCTGATTTCTGAATTCAGAAGACACCAGGATGGAAATGTGTTCTTCACTAAAGGGACAAGAATGTGAGCCATGTGGGCTGGCCAGCCCAGCTCAGCTTTTTTTTCTGATTTCCCTCCTCTTATGACCTCGAGCAAGCCGTGCAGGAGAGGAGCAGATGACCCGTAGGAGTGACTGAAGAGGGACAGGGCTGGCTGGGAGCCGGAGGGATCACTGGCATTACTAGGGCTGGCACTACCCTTCCAGAAAGAAACGCTTTAGACACCTCCTGTATTTAAAATGAACTATAAAGATGCCTTTGATTCCTTGGAGGTTTTGAAATGCTGATAGGCAGTGGGGGTGAGGGGCGGGGGCCGGCAGTCCAGTCTGAGGCTCCCTAGGCAACAGTTAGGAATTCTCCCTCCGAAGGTTGTGCAGCGGCCCAGCCTTGTTCTATTACCGTTTGGGGGAATATGTGTAGGGGACGTGTTGGGTAGAAAAAGTTGGAACCCTGGCTCATTCACAGGGAAGGGGGTGCTGCGGCTGGCAGCGTGCATTCCCTCTGACACAGCCTTGCAGACCTGAGGACACAGAACTACAGACACCACAGTACCAGTGCTCCTCTCGACTGGCCACCGATTACCACTCTGGCGGGCAGGTGGGGAGTGCGTGTGTGGGGCCAGAAAAGGAAGAGGCGCACTTCTGCATTTACATGAGGAAGAAGGAAAACAATGGAAAGGCTGGATGAAAAAATATATAAAGGCCCTCAAAGAGCAAAATACCCTCTCTTTGCATTAATCTGCTGAGCTAACCCATTTCTTATTTGCGGAGCATTTTGGATATTATCATGAAAAAAACAATTGTCGAGTGATCACTGAGCACCATATCATTTCACAATCTTGTATTAAACCCAGCAATTTCTCTTCTTGAGCTCCAGAGTTACCAAAATATTCTTGTCTAACAGCAAAAGGAAAAAAACCTGTTGTGTCTCCCTGTATGTTTTGTTTTTTTCCCACATGTCAATGTGGTTTCAGCTTTGAGGTTCTCCCTTGTCACTTCCCCCACCTGGTGGCTGCTTACAGGTGAGCATGAGAAGCAGGAACAAGGGCAGATGCCAGAGGCTGCAGAAGAACAGTTTCCTGGAACTCTTCCGGTCCGCATCCCTGTAGAACCGGAAGCCGAGGTAGGAAATATACAAGTTGATGGGGAGGGAGATGACGGGGAAGGTCCATGTGGTGACATCCAGGATGGGGGCTGCCGTGGACAGTCCGATCAAGGCCAGACAGTGGCGCAGGGCAACGCGCCTGCACAGTGCCGGGTGAGTGACTGACATCATGCAGTAGCCTCCTCGGGAGTAGTCTTCGCGGAGGCCCCAGCTCAGGGCGTTGAAATGAGGAAACTGCCAGGAGTAGAGGATTCCTCCCAAAAGAAATGCTCCTGTACAAAGGTTTAGGAGAAAAGAAGGAAGCAAAGACACGTTGTCATCAGAGATTTACAAAGGCACCGCTGGCTCTCAACCGAAAGCCTTCCTGGCCCCCCGCGCTGCGCTCTCCGCCTTTCACCCGGATCTCAGACTCGCTGCCAGTCTTTGTTCTCATCTCTGCTTGCCCAAGTCAGCCTGACATCTGAGATAGGCGGGTGGGGAGCTGAACACTCTCCAGCATCCCTCCAGCTTTTCCACCTTGGGGGGTACAGAGGTCCCTGGCTTCTGGGCAAGGCCCTTGCTTCCCAGGGAAGGCTGCCTCCCGCTGCCGGACGCTGAGCATCTGTGGCTCCTGCCCCCACCAAGCACCCCATGTGTCCAACCACGGTGACAAGAGAAGCCCCTACACACTTACAAACATGTTTAGGGGCAGCACTGCCCCTCGGGGAGCTCTGTGCCAGGGCTTCTAGCTCTGTTTCTGCAAGCTGGGCCTTGTGAGCGCGGTGCTTTGGTAGGGCCACTTGGCGTCCCAACGAGGCCCCTGCCCGGGGCAGGCGGCAGCTCCCTGCCAGCACCAACAGGCCCGAGTGGGCGTGGGGCACTGTTTCATAGGTGATCGAGGGGCTTCCAGGGCAGGTGCTGGTCCAGTCCCTGGAGCCTGTATGAGGCAGGCAGGAGGGACTGCACAGCATGTGCTAGGTAAACCAAGTGGCATAAAGGACACGGCCCCGAGCAGAACGAGAACCTGCCTGTGCCTTCGTCGTTTTTCAACAAGGACATATTAGTGTCTTGAACACCGTTTAGCCCCTCTGTCTGGAGCAGGGCTCCCTCCCCACAAAGGCTGCCAGTTCCTGAGCACCTACAATGTGACAGAGACTTCACAGAGTCTGCCTCATTTCATCCTAGCTATAGGGTTTCAGGTGGGTTTTATACTCATCAATCAAACAAACAAATCAGATGACATTATGTTCTGCAAAAAACAGTGAAGGAGAAAGTGAAAACAAGCCGGTCTGGTTTGAAAACTGGGCTCCCCTTCTGCCCTGAGCCACCTCCCTCCAGCCAGGCTGCGGAGCCCAGGCTGGGTGCAGGGGTTGCAGACATTCCTGAGCAGGATTCCTGACTCCTGTACTCACACAACGAAGCACCGACTGAGAGGCACCACCGTGCCAGGCACGGTGATGCGGTGTGAGCACAAACCCACACGTGTCCCTGCTGCCTCCGTTCACCGGCAGGTCACTGATCAGGGGCCATGCCGGAGCACCGACACCATCACTCAAATGATGCAGGAAAAGCCCGTGCAATGAGGACACAGAGCAAGAGGGGCTGAGCTAGTGGAGGGGCAGAGAAGACTTTCTGTGGGAGAAGTGACTGAGTCCCGTGAAGGATTCACAGAGACCTTGGGGTAGGAAGGGGCACAGTGTGGCCGAGGTGTGAAATGGAGATGAGCGCATGTGCCAGGATTCACAGAGTGTATATCAAAGGACTGGAAGGTCAGTTTTCCTGTATCATCACTTAAAAAAGAAATTAGAAGAAAAAAGGAAGGCTAGTGTAGCTGGAGAGCAGAGAACAACGGAGAACCCAGTTCAGGATCCGGCTACCACTCCCACCTCTGTGGGCCGTGCTGAGGATGAGTTCTGTCCTGAAAGCAACAGAAAGCCAAGGAAGGATCTTAAACGTGTAAGAGTGTGCGTGTGTGGGGGCTGCTGAGGCAAGGGGCACTGGTGTTACCTGACCTGACTGTGAAAGAACACATTGGGAGGGCCCAGAGCAGGTATGGAAGGATCAGCTGGGAGATGGAAGAGAGGTTAGGATCAGGGTGGTGCCGGTGGCGATGGAAAGAGATGAAAGAGATCCCGCAGAGAGGGATTTAGGAGGCCAAAGTGACGGGGTGTGAGTGCAGGGTGAATAAGAGGAGGGGGAAGGCGTCAGGAGCAGCTCCTGCACTTAGGGATCCACGGAGATGCCATTCACTGCGAGTCCAAGGGGAAGACGGGGACGGCGGCTCCTGAGGGCCACCGGGGTGTGCTCGGGGCAACAGGCCTTTGAGACATCCAAGGGAAAATGGCAAACAGGGCGCGTGAAGAGGGCGCTGGGCTTCGGCGTGTACTGAGGGCTACTCAGACCTTCATGAGTACAGCGCGGTGGCCCGTCAGCGAGGCTTGTTTCTGTGTCTCCTGCCCCAAAGGGAAGTCCTGCAGGCCAAGTTCGTCTTCCCTCTACCTCCAGAGACTAGAGCACAGGCAGTGCTGATGCCACCGCAGCACAGGGTGCTCAGACTCCTCCGTGGAGCTCAGGGGCACAAACACTTGCTCGAGTGCAAACGGTCCCCAGGCCTCTGTCCCAGCACGGGTTTGTGGCCTGGTACAGCACACTGCTGGGACTCCGTCTACGCTCCCTCCCTCCGCCCTCTGGAGCGTCTCAGGTGCTGGGACTCAGCTCCTTGTTTCTCAGATACCTAACTGCCTCAGGGTCCCCTGGCAGACAGCGCAGGGCTTACTAACCCCCTGCATAATCTACCCGGGAAGCACCGTCCTGCAGGGAGAGGGGAGAATTTGTGACCACAATCCTATTTCGGGTGATGAGGATCTTTTAAGCCCCTAGTCTGTGGGAATGCGCAGAAAAAGAGAGTGTGGGGGCTACTGCTAACACAGAACTCAGCAGGAGAAAAAGCAGTTGAAGCAATTCAGAACAAACCAGAAAGTGAGTCTGGGGCTCTGAGGTCCCAAAGGGCCCTGTTGTGCACATGCCGACGTGGATCAGGAGTGAGCCCCTCTTTTAGTCTCTTACCTGGATTCCTCAACAGTGGGACTGTAGAGTGACAACAGGGGCCGGCTTTGCAAGTCATTTAAAAGAAATGAACGATGATTTTTATTCATATTGTTCTGGGCAGAAACTTACTCATTTGTGAGTTAAGTTTCCCGGGCATTGTAGTGGGGCAAGTAGTCCTCACGTGGGTGCAGAATGCCAAAGAGGGGGGCTACTTTCAGATCCATCATCAGTTTCCTGGAGGTTCCATAAGTCAATCAATTCCTTGTCAGCTTTCCAACATGGGAGGAAATACAATAAAGACTTGATTTTGGAATCCCTATTTTAGTAGGGTTGCTGTCGAATCTCCCAAACGCATTTTTAACCCTATCTATAAATAACATATATAGATCTCTTGGCTCATGTAAACACATTCCAATTCTAATGATAATAATAGCAGTAGCTACTGTTTGTTGAATCTATCACTTGGTAAATGGATGACGGGCATCTGCCATATGCCAGGCACAACCGTGGATGCTAGAAAGGCAGTGGTGAGCAAGACAAAGCCCTGCTCGATGCCTCGAGGGGGAGATGGATCTAGACACAAGTAACAGTGATGAGTGCTATTTACAGAATCACAACAATGTGACAGGCTGGGGGCAAGTGGAGATTGACTGTTCAGGGAAGGCCCTCCCAGAGGTGACATTTAAGCCATGACCCAACTAACTGGCAGTAGAACTCTGCCGGGTCCTGCGCAGAGTCCCTCCGGCCTGTTTCTGGGCAGCGCGAGGCTTTAGTGAGGCAAGGAGAGTAACAAGACAGGGCTGGCGGGCTGGGGGCTGGGTCACATGGACGCCTGTAACCCGGGTTAGGAGTAACCACGGGAGGGTGGGTCACAGATGGCAGGGGACCAGGGAGGAGGCAGGCGGCCAAGGGAGAGATGAGGGTGGCAGACATGGATGCCTTTTACTCAGGGGGGCTGGGGACACGCACAGGTGAGCGTGCTCATGTGGAGACATGAAGAGGTCAATTTTTGGCTCTTTGAAGTTTGAGATGCCTATTAGACATCCCAGTGAACCACCCCGTGGCTGTCCTACAGCGGCATGCGTAGAGTTAGATAGCTGCTTTCTAGGGCTTACAACCACTCTCCCTCCAGGCACAGTTACTCTCATCTTGCAGATACCATTGAATTAACATGCCCAAGGACATTCCGCACTCCTGGCACAGTATACCAGCACCTTCTTTAGAAAGCTGTTGCCACATGTCATTCAAATTAGTTAACAATGGACTATGGGGGTGTAATTCAAATGCCAACGGAACTGAGTCCAGGGAGGCTGTCCGGAGGAGAAACTGCAGAGGCCCTTTCTGCTTTATTAACATAAGAGACCCGGTACCTTTAAAAAAAAAAAAGGCTCGTTTCAATTACAGCCAACAGACAATATTCTTCTTGACAGCAAGCACCCCCGGGGAATTAGGACAGAAGGGAAGGTCGGACCACCCAGCTACAACTGAGCAGTGAACAGGGGACAGGAGACTTCTCCTTCGTAGTCTGAGGGGCGAACAGAATGCTCTCTGGATTCCAGAGGGACCAGCAAAGAGGAAGCACCGTGAAGGACGCTGGGGCAGGGGTCACTCTGAGGCTTTCGAGCCCGTGGCCCTGGAGCAGCGCACCCCAGCTCGCCAGCGGTCTCCGTGCACAGGGTCGGAACAGATGACGGTTCACAGTTATGACAGCCACAGCACGGGGGAAGCCACAGACCAAGACGGGTCCCGTCAAGAAAACAACGTCAGTGGTCCGAGGTCACTTAGGAACGGGGGAGGGCGCAGATCCGAGTCAGAGCACAGGAGGTGTTCTGCTGTAGAAACAGCTCTGTGAAACCAGACTTGAAACAGTTAAAATCTCAGGCCCAAAGGTGGAATCTTGCTTGTCTTTCTCAAAAGCTCTTTTTGGTGTGCCAACTGGAGTATTCTGTTTTGCTCAATGCACATTTTCCGCTATGCTTCTGCTTAAAACAACATAATTTAAAAAATCATTTTCCTAAGAGTTGCATGCTGCTTTCTGTGCGAGAGGAAATTGGCTATGCGTTTGGGTGACGTCGTAAATGAAAGTGCTTCAGAAATCACAGCTTAGCCCTAATGGATCGTAGTCAGAAAACCACCACCCCACGCGGTTCTACCTGATGGGCTGCCACTGCCTCTGCTCCTCTAAAAGATGTAAAGCTAATTACTCTCTTCATCAAGATGAGGGGACTAGAGCAGGAAGCCCTGA